TACAAATGCATTCTACGCAGTGCTAAAATATTTGATATTATTGTATTTGTTCATCCCAGTATAAAATAATAAGCTTTAAGAAGCTTTAGAATTAACTTTCTTCCCCTGAAAAGGTGGTGGTGGGGGGGGGGGTTGCTTATTTCAGAGGGGGCTAAATAGAGGCGGGATTCACGGTAAAAATTCTTAAATTCTTGTCGTCAATATTTTCCTCTAATGTTTGGTAATCTTATTCCGAACGTGTGCACGTACTCCACGTTAAGGCTGATGTCATACGCTATGTCAACACGATGTATTTTAGGATCTACGGGCGGCTTCTTCCAGCGCCACATTAACATATCATTAATGATGTAACTGCATGATCATGACCAAGAGACGTAAACGGTTTTCATATTAGATTAGTTCCTAAAAAAAGCGGATACATTAAATCATAACTTTCTTAAGTGTACGACTGAGTGTGTTTACGAAAGTAAATGGTCTCAAGTGGAAACATCAAGTTGACGTCGACGTAACGATCCTTAACAGAAAAAAAAATCTAAACTTTTCTTCTTTCCTTATTTTTTCTTTTTTTCCCTTCTTTTCTATTTTTTTTTCTTAAGGAAGAGAAAAAGTGTAAATGTAGGAAAAGTTAGCAATTGATTGTCAGACATTGTCAAGAATTAGGGAATAAACGTCAAGATTTTAAATGAAGCAGAGGCACATCACAAAGAACTCTATAATTATTCAAAATGGCGGCGAGTCGGAAATTAGAAAGCCAAATTATTGATTTGCGGATCAATTTTTGGTCACATCGCTTTCTCTACAAAACAATGGAATTTAAACCTCCCTCCAACACTGAGTCAAAATCAAATTGCTATAACAGTGCAGGATTTCAATGAATCAGTTCAAGCTGCTGACGTCGAAGCGTTCATAACCCAAGAGAGGGGACCTCATCAAAATTGCCCCATCATCATTTGTTGGCATATGTGACATATTTGAGTAAGAGAAAAGTTTTTAGTCTTGTTATTCCGCTATCCTTCGTATCGCCCATCCTGGACCCATTCGACCACAACTGATTCAGGGTCATTGACAAAGACATTGGGTAAACTTAGTATCTTGTTAAGGAATACGTATACCTTTTAATTTTACTTTATGTCGAGATATATTGTTTAACCAGTCTGATTTCACCGTTGGATGCAGTAAAAACAATGGACTGAAAGCAACCACGATGGCGACGGCGTATACCGTATAGCTCTAACGCCGCTGCAAATACCAATTAGGATAGGGTTTCTGTTCACACATTGAAACGCTGATTTCGTCGCAGTTTCTGTAACGGTGCGAAGGTGCGCCGCGCCGATCTTGAAAATGGATCGTCACATATCAGTATTTAGGTTTCTGTGTTACGTTTTAATTGGCGCAGAGTGAACAAGTTTTCATTCAATACCGGATAACTTTGTACGTCGACTTAAAAAGCCTTTCGATATGTAGGGTAGGCATACCCAGTTACCTACAGACTGAAGAAACCCGAAATGAATTCCTTATTTCATGTTTTAAGGAGGATGTAAACAGAAAAAGGCAATTATCTTTAAATTCGTTGAATTTGCATACGGTTTCGTACGAATGAACCCCTCAAAATTCGCCTGCGGCGAACGCGTTTGACAAATCGAACGAGCTGAAATTATAGCGATGAGATAAAATGGCGCAAATTTATTTTCAAGGAAGTTTTAGCTGCCGTTGCCGTCGCGTGGGTGCCTCATTCCTACTGCAAAACTAGTGCAGTCGTATATGAGGGGTTTATCAGTATATTTAATGTAAAAAATATCGCACAAAACAACGGAAACAAACAAACAGGGAAAAAAAGTAACAAAATAAGGGAGATGTGTGGTACGGGCAATAACAGGGCGCAGTCACTGACTGACAACTGACACCCGGCCCTATATATCAAAGCGCGAGGCTGGCCTCCATATTCCTATAACATTTATAACAGCAGACAAGTGAAATATCTGCATGTTTGTGACATTTTATGCCACAACGACTACTTCTCACGATGAGCATATAGTTATATTGGGTTGTACATGCACCACGAACCATAGTTAATATCAGATTTGCTCCGCCATGTGGAACAAGTGCCAGTCAAGCATGGGTAGCCAAGTCTAAAACCTTCTTTGTTGTTCGTTTTGAAGTGTGGGCGCGCAGCAGAAACGCGAAAGAATCTACAATGCATTGCCAGACCAAAACGTCTTGGTAAAGACGGTGTATTAGTGACTTTAACGTCGGTTCACGATTTTTCCTAACCGCGGAAAATTTCTCGCAAATATATCCCTTAGACACTACTAACAGTATTAATAACAATAGACCTTGTCACGGTTTTCGACGCCATCTTGACGAGTAGGCAAACGCGTCAGAAATTACAGTGTTGTATGAGAATCTAATGTCGAGTAATTTCCGTAGAATGGCGGTTCTGAAAAAAATATGAATTGTAAACTAAAGCTTCACTCCTAAGGAATCTACTGAAAAAAATTGAGGGCGTTAGATGGGCTGGAAGACCTAGAACCACTTTTTAAAATTTTCTGTACATTTGTCTGTAAGAAAGTCCCGGGAAAAATTACAGACAAATGTATGGAAAATCTACAGCAAGCCTCTGAAGAAATTTAAGCACACAGGTACGCCCCAAAAAATTTTTAAGTACAATCCTTTGTTTTGTAGCTTTAGTTTACAAGTCATATTTTTTTTCAGAACAGCCGTTATACGGAAATCATTCGACATTAGATTCTCATACAAACACTGCTCACACGTTTGCCTACTCGTCAAGACGGCGTCCAAAACCGTGACAAGGTCTGTTCATACTGACGACCTTAGTTTGACTGTAGTATGATAAGGTTGTGTCTTATTCGTCCAAATTTTTTTACCCGAGTGCGTGCCCTATTTGAGAAGATATTTTCGAAATTCTTTACCTGTCGCAACATGCTAATGTACTTAATATGTGTTCTTTTCGTCGCTCTCTAACCGCAGGTCACTAACGGCGCTCGCTTTTCTTTTCGCTCGAAGTTACTTACTGGATACATGAAACAGGCTAATCCCCATACCATACTTATTATGTTGAATGTTCAATCTTCTAAACAGGTATGGCTTTGCAGCCTTATCAGGACGAGGAGTTAAATTTCTTCAAGTTCGCGTCTCTTGTGCTGAACGAATTTCCAAAAGCATTACGGCAGAAATTTAAAACCATGTGGGACGACACCTATGGACATCGCCCTGGTTTCAAACTCTGGGATGATTCCTCTGCTGTGAGAAATTTGTTCGCTTCTTTGGAGGGAGACAAAAACAAAGTTCCTATTCACACTTCTTACAATGAATGGGACTGCACTGCTCTCTTTCAAGCAACCATTTACGCGCAGTCGTTCCCTCGCGGCCACTCTTTCACTCTTAGTGATTTGTACCTGAAGCCTTTGGCACTACCTTATGATTCTTTCCATGCTTCAGTCATGAGCCCAAGTGGTAACGAAGAAGAAACTCTCGCACTTGCGATTGACCAGCTGCGACTTTTAAGAAATTCGCTTTGTCACTCAGTTAGATCTTTGATGGACAAGGAAACGTTTGATGAGAGAATGAAACAAGCTAAAGATGCGTTCACAGCCCTCGGAGTCGCCACAGACCTCCTTGATGCCGTTGCCAGTTTGGATGAGTCACATTTTCCGACCAATGAAGTTCATACATTAAATAAAAAAATTAGAAAGGAGACTCAGACTTGCGTCCAGATACTTGAGGATGTAGTTGCAAATGTTGAAGATTGGAAGCGCGAAACCGCTACCAAACAAGATATCGCCATATTGTCACTGAAGATTGACGAGCTGAAGGCAGCCCAGGAAATACGTGAGGCTAATTTAACAGGTGCACAAAGTATGCCTACAAAGTTCTGACTAAAGCAACATTTTGGAAAGATTAAGGGGGTCCACATTCCGGAATGAGCGAAATTTTTGCTTGTGAATTCCGGAATCCAAGGCTTTGGAATCCGGAGTACAGTTCAAAATATCCGGAATCCGAATAATACCGATTGGAATCCAGAATCAAAGTTTCACTGACAGAGAATCCGGAATTTAGTACATGGAATCGGGCAAGACTGTCTTGGATTATCTTGACTGGGGAGAGATTAATTAGTTCTAAAACTAGTTTTTTAAAGTGTTACCTCCGCTCCCCTACCTTCCCAGTAATTGGATCCCTTACGTAACCAAATACAAAAGTGCATTGTGGTCACTGGGGTAAATTTTAATAAGCATATCATATCGGGTAAAAACGAAACATCATTGTTCCGTGTGAATTTGTTTTTCCTTCAAGCTAATTCTCTTGTTTGCAGTTTTTCAATCACAGTGTCATAGAAATGGCTGTCAATTGTGCCAAGTTTAAAAAAAATCTGGAGTACATCCTTTTTAAGGGAATTACCTTTAAGTTTCTCGAAATAATGGTTGTTTTCTGGCTCTCCTGTAACCCAGAAAATTTCGTTTTGTTTTTGTCATTCAGGCAAGGAAACATCAACCAAACAATCACAGTCTTGCTCAGTAATCACAAACACTGTAGGAGAGAACCATCCGAGGATAGCTGACAGCTACCATACATTGGGAGTCACTGAACGGGTCCGATGCAATTTTCCAACTGCTCTTAAGTATGCACAGCAAGCTCTAAGCATAAGACTCCAGCTGTATGAGGAAGACCATCCGAGCATAGCTGAGTGCTACCATGCACTTGGTGACACGCAGCGCGCTATGGGCGACTATGCCGCAGCACTCGAGTCTGCAAAGCGTGCCCTAAGCATCCGGCGTCGGGTGTTTGGAGAAGAACACTTAAGCACAGCTGAAATGTACCACTCCCTTGGGGATACACAGCGCGCCTTAGGCGACTATCCTTCTGCGGTTGAGTCTGGAAAGCGTGCGCTTGCCATTAGACTCAAGCTGCTTGGAGAAGAGCACTCAAGCACAGCCGACATCTATCACTCCATAGGAGACACCCAGCGCGCTTTAGGCGACTATCCTTCCGCGCTCGTGTCTGGTAAACGCGCACTTGCTATTAGACTCAAGCTGCTTGGAGAAGAGCACTTAAGCACAGCCGATATCTACCACTCTACTGGGGACACACAGCGCGCTTTAGGCGACTATCCTTCCGCGCTCGCGTCTGGTAAACGCGCACTTGCTATTAGACTCAAGCTGCTTGGAGAAGAACACTTAAGCACAGCCGATATCTACCACTCTATTGGGGACACACAGCGCGCTTTAGGCGACTATCCTTCAGCACTCGAGTCTACAAAGCATGCACTTGATATCAGACTAAAGCTTCTTGGAGAAGAGCATCCAAGCACGGCAGACATTTTTCATTCTCTTGGAGACACACAACGCGCTCTAGGTGACCTGTCTTCAGCCCATCAATCTCAGGAACGCGCACTAAAGATAAGACAGAAGTTGTTTGGAAAAGAGCATGTAAACATCGTTGACTGTTGATATATGACATGAGCTTGCCGCAAAGGATGCAGAGTTTAGGAAAATACAGTATATTTAGTTTAGACAACCTAACTGGGCAATAGACAAGATTTCCCATACGAAAAATTGAAAGAAACTGAAATATAAAAGAAAGAAAAAGGACTGGTTCTAGCCAGTAGTCACGAGCCACTAGACCTTTATATGATCCTAGAAGGGTGGCAGAAATATGGTTTCGTAAATATCCATATTCAGCATTATTCAATCAAAGTACCTCTCATTTTCTGATAATACCTCGGCTTATTCTTCAAAAGCAGCTGTAGGCTGGATTTCTGCCACTCTCCCGAGTCTGGTCTTCGGTTCCTCCCGGAAAGGGAAGGGAGGAATGCGGTGGGCTCGCTTTCCTGCATGATCAGTGACAAGTAGCGCTAACCAAATTCGGAAGCGGAATATACTTTTAATTATTGACGTCTGTCACTCTGTCCTGAATGATTGCATATTGTGATGTATAACCGTTACGTAACTAAGACAGCGGCGAGATGGCCTGGCTGTTCTCATCATATTAAGCAAAAAACATTAAGTGATTAATTTTATTATAGGGAAATAAAAATACAGAGCCCAGGTTTTCAAAAGATAGATAGCACTATTCTACCAAATAAATCATTATCTAGTGAATAAGTGTTCAGGAAACCAATTGAGCTATTTAGTGGATAGTGATTTATCCAGAGGATAGCGTTTATCCACCTTTTTAACAACTAGCGCCAGGACTATTAAAACTCATCATACTCTAAGAAATAATTTGCAACTGAAGATGTATCATGTCATGTTATACTGCATGGTTACAAAACCAGAGTTGTCGTTCATTTTCATAGGATCCTTAAAACTCCGATGATAACAGGACAAGTTGCTGGTTCTATAATTCTTTACTTCAGCGCGTTATAATTTCTCTTTTAATGCTCTTGAATTTTCCCTGAGAATACCCTTAGGCAAGTAATTGGAAAAACAAAGTTGGTGGGAATCGAAGGGGGGGCGCAATGGAACACGTGTTTTGTGTAAACTAAAGTGATCTAAGTTTTATGCGAACAGTGCGGTGGTGGATTCAGACCTTTGAACTTTAAGCAAGTGCTCCCCCCCCCCGCCCCCTCCTTATCCAATCCCCGAGATAAGGGGTGGCTCTGTCTCGAAAATAATTCTCCTCGGCCCTTCGCGCCTCAATTTGGCCTCAAAATAAGATTGGAACCCGGGCCCCTCCCCTAGATCCGCCACTACCGTCTTAGTCCTTTCCGGATATATATATATTCATGATTTATGTTCTGTTAGATATTAAGACAATGACAAGACAGTGACTGATGTTGGCGGAGAGTCCTACTTTGGGTGAGCTCTGTTTGCTGAGATACAAAATAATTACAATTAATTCTATTTTGGGGTGAATTAGGCTGCAGGAACACAGTGCATACTGTTGGTTTAATTAGCATAGCCATTGCTCTTTCGACGTTCTTGTTACCGTCGCCCATCCATGTAAGGTAAGGTAAGGTAACGCCTTTGTACGTCTGTAAAGAGGGCAAATACGTGACAGTTATCAACTGATAACCTTGTGGCAAGGCTTAGACACAAATATCACGTAAAATCGCCTAAATATCTTTCCGGAAATTCTTTACAAAATGTCTAGATATCCCCCAAAATTTTCTGAATATCTCGAAAAATCCTCGAAATATCTCGTATCTTTGTTTTAAAAATACGCCGATTTTGAATCTCTTAGGCCAAAATTTTCCCCAGCGGGAGCTGAAAAGTATGTTCAGGCTGATATGTGTGTCCAGCATCCGCCATTTTAACAAATGGCTGCTAGTGTCCAGTGATATGGAACACATTATTCAAGTGAAAAACCGTTGAACTGGATTATTTCTAGCATAGAATGATAAAACTGAGTATTCCGTAAAGAAAATAGCGAGGAAAAGCTGGAAAACAGCCAAAAAAGCTATAAATTTGTCCAAATATCCCAAAATTTTCTAAATATCTTAAAATTTTCCCAAATTTTCTAAATATCTCGGAAACTTCTAAATATCTAAAAAAATATGCGGGTGTTTGTGTCTAGGCCTACTTGTGGCCCTCTATTAAACATAAAAACAAAATTAATATTGAAATAATTTGACACTGTCATTATAACAAGATAAAAATTAATATTATCTAGTCTTAGAAATTTTAAGTATTTAAAAACTATTAACTATCTTATACTAGTTATTTTACAGACTTAATATTTAAAAGATATTATCGTTGGTTAAGTTCCTTATATCGGTGCCGGGAAAAATTGAACGAATGTCCCTGATTCAGCACTGTAAATTCAAAAGATCCGCTTCTGTCCCAAAATGCATGCAAATTTGGTCGTGCAGAACAAAATCTGGTTCAATCTCTCGTGAAGTCATTCATAATTACGCACAATTTGTACTCGCTCGTAACATGCTCGCCCGACAGATTCTGTAGGGACAGAATTAGACTGTAATGGTGTACTGTATTCGGCTTTTCACCTAAACAAACGCACCAAAGTTGAGGTTGACAGAATCTTTTAAATCTACAGTGCGTGGAACATTAGGTCTTTTATATACACATCATTCACTACTGAAAATGCGTGGATCTGTTTTAACGCCTATAATGCCTCGTGGAAGAAAATTCTGATCCAGCCTCGTGGAGAAGCCATCCGAAGCCATCTTCAAGCAAGCCTTTCAGATCATCCCCCCTCAGGGTACAAATGAGCCTAAGGAAATTCGACTATTTTGGCAAAGACAGTCAATCGCTGTTTAAGTTGAGATCTCTGGAGCCCAGGCGATCTGACGCACGTCTCTAATGGATTAGCCACTTACGAATGCATCAAGCTTCAGAAAGATCATAAGAGCAGAATGGACATCAGGCTCTCGTCTCTCAGTCATCGATTTTAACAGCCACGTTTTACATGTGATTATAGTATAAGAATTTTTTTTACCTTTAGACAACTGCACAGTGGAACAATCTCCAACCAGAAATTATAGCCTCTACTTTGCCATATTCATTTAGGCAGTTCCTGTGTAATCTTACATATTGATTAGTAATTTTATGTTATTGTTGTATTCATTGTTGTAATTTTTATTATTTAAAGCAGTCTGTAATACTCTGTTGAGAGTGAAGAGTTAACTATTAATTGGTAAATAAGTTAACCAACAAAATCAACTAAAATTCTTCTTAACAACAGCGAACTTATACTATATTACATACCCTATTTATTTAAGTGTACCATACCATTTTGTCCAAAAGAATAATTTGCAAGTCCAATGAACTGAATGAAAACTACTTATGCCCTTCTTTCAAGCCATCCAATGCGCGCTGTGTTTTCTCCACTTCCCGGTTACTGGCAGCAGTGCTTTTATGATCTTTTCGAAACAGTTTAATACGTATGCCCAGGGCACGCTGATGATTTTGAAGAGATGCTTTGAAATCACCTAGTTCATGTTGTGTTATCCCCAGGGAGTAGTAACAGTCAGCCGTACTTTGGTGTTCTTCTCCAAACAGTTTAATACGTATGTCCAGCACACGCTGGTAAGATTGAAGAGCTGCTTTGAAATCACCTAGTTTATGCTGTGTTATCCCCAGTGAGTAGTAACAGTCAGCAGTACTTTGGTGTTCTTTTCCAAACAGCTTAATACATATCTCCAGCGAACGCTGTTTTGACTGCAGAGCTGCTTTGAAATCACCTAGTTTATGCTGTGTTATCCCCAGTGAGTAGTAACAGTCAGCAGTACTTTGGTGTTCTTCTCCAAACAGTTTAATACGTATGTCCAGCGCACGCTGGTAGGATTGAAGAGCTGCTTTGAAATCACCTGGTTCACGATGTGTTATCCCCAGTGAGTAGTAACAGTCAGCAGTACTTTGGTGTTCTTTTCCAAACAGTTTAATACGTATGTCCAGCGCACGCTGGTAAGATTGAAGAGCTGCTTTGAAATCACCTAGTTTATGCTGTGTTATCCCCAGGGAGAAGTAACAGTCAGCAGTACTTTGGCGTTCTTCTCCAAACAGCTTAATACGTATTTCCAGCGCACGCTGGTGAGATTGAAGAGCTGCTTTGAAATCACCCAGTTTATGCTGTGTTATCCCCAGTGAGTAGTAACAGTCAGCAGTACTTTGGTGTTCTTCTCCAAACAGTTTGATACGTATGTCCAGCGCACGCTGGTAAGATTGAAGAGCTGCTTTGAAATAACCCAGGTCATGCTGTGTTACCCCCAGATTGAAGTAACAGTCAGCAGTACTTTGGTGTTCTTCTCCAAACAGTTTAATACGTATTTCCAGCGCACGCTGGTGGGATTGAAGAGCTGCTTTGAAATCACCTTGTTTACGCTGTGTTACCCCCAGATAGAAGTAACAGTCAGCAGTACTTTGGTGTTCTTTTCCAAACAGTTTAATACGTATGTCCAGTGAACGCTGTTTTGACTGCAGAGCTGCTTTGAAATCACCTAGTTTATGCTGTGTTATCCCCAGTGAGTAGTAACAGTCAGCCGTACTTTGGTGTTCTTTTCCAAACAGTTTAATACGTATGTCCAGCGCACGCTGGTAAGATTGAAGAGCTGCTTTGAAGTCACCTAGTTTATGCCGTGTTATCCCCAGTGAGTAGTAACAGTCAGCAGTACTTTGGTGTTCTTTTCCAAACAGTTTAATACGTATGTCCAGCGCACGCTGGTAAGATTGAAGAGCTGCTTTGAAATCACCTAGTTTATGCTGTGTTATTCCCAGTGAGTGGTAACAGTCAGCAGTACTTTGGTGTTCTTTTCCAAACAGTTTAATACGTATGTCCAGCGCACGCTGGTAAGATTGAAGAGCTGCTTTGAAATCACCTAGTTTATGCTGTGTTATCCCCAGTGAGTAGTAACAGTCAGCAGTACTTTGGCTTTCCTTTAACAGTTTAATACGTATGTCGAGCGAACGTTGGTAGAATTGGAGTGCTGATTTGAAATCCTGTTGCTTATGTTTCTCGGTTCCAAGTTTATAGAGGTTATTAGCAACACTAGATTGATTCTCTACAGGACCAGAAAAAGAAAAAATATTAGATAGATTAGATAGATGTGGTCTCAATATCTAGGACCATATTTTATTTAACTGAACAAAGAAATCAATACAAACATTGATTAGGAATGTAACTCATATAATTTGGGCTACAGAGGTGTCTAGTACGGTGACCGGAAGTAGTTTTTTCCCGCCACGCGTCAATGCCTGAAGTTAAGATATCACGACAGCGGCGAAAAACATAGTTTTTTTATAAAACGTGAATTCGCATTCTTTCTGGATTTTTCGCGATTATTGCAAGTCGCGTGCTTTTTCAAATGTAGGCAAACTCATATCCAAGTTCAGAGAGGGAAAAGAGTTAATCATCGTTTGTTTACGACACGTCCGAAAAAACAAGAAATTAGGAATTTTCACGTGGAGGTAACGCACTGATGGCAAAAAAATGTAGAAGAAACACTAAGATGCATGTACAAATTTGATGATTTGGAACCTGAATTTCAGACGATTACTTAGTTACTGAGGGAGTGAAAAGGACTCGAAGAAATCGTCTGAAATTCAGGCTAGATGATTTGCTAATTAAACCTATTTTCTTGCCGTACCACGTTTCCCAAATACGTAGGGGATCGTGGCGAGCCGTAGTGTCGAGTACATTAAGTAGTTAGTTGCGTTTTACATGCATGATTATAACACCAGTGTGCATTTGACGCAGAATTGAAAGATATACGCATTTTATCCTTTTTTGGTCATCCTTAGATCGTTGAGAAGCCTTTTATTATTATTATTATTATTATTATTATTGTTATTATGTTTGTTTATTTATTTATTTTCATGAGCCCCAAATTCGGAGTCAGGCACGACACCCAATTGAAAAATACAGTCAATATGCAGAGGCGTAGCTAGGGGGGGTCCTGGGGTGCCCGTGACCTCCCCTTGGTAGGCCTTCTTTTGAGCAAACAACTTACAATATTTAGGTGGCGAAAACGCCATGACAATATCTTGGCCGTAAAAGCCTTTGTTGAAAAGCCCACTTTTTTAAAATTTGTTTTTTTGTAAAGTATTGTCGTCAACGGCTGTTGTCTTTAGTTAATATGGTCCTTCATTCCGTGATAATACGACTGAGCCTCCCTCTGTGACCCCCCCCCCCCTACGCCCCTGAATACGCAAAATACAGTTGACAGGAAAGAAAGTATGGGATAATAGGGAGCTTAAGCAACGACAACGGCTTGTTGCGTTGGTTAGAACTGTCGAACACTGAACGTTCTTTTGAAGGCCTGAAAGACCTAATTGTGAAAGAACAGTTTATTGACTCTTGTCCAAAAGAGTTAAGCTATTCACCTTCGTGAAAGAGGCCCGGAAACGTTTGTTCAGATCGCGAAGATTGCCGAGCAATACTTAGAAGCACACGGAAACCATCCGTTGAGCGCTGCGAGCAAGAAGCTACAAGTACAGCCCAAGGCGGAGGAAACAAAGACTGCACAGAGTGACACAACAACCCTCCAGTGTTACAAGTGTAATGCCCTCGGACACAAAGCTATTAACTGCCCAACTCTAGCTAAAAGGTGTTTCCTGTGTGACAAGCAAGGTCATCAAGCGAGGAACTGTCGATCTGGTGGACGAAAGTCGGGAGGCCAAGGTAAGGATTGTAACCCTGTGCAACGTGGTCAAGATAGTGCTGGCTGTTTGCTTAAGTCACCCTATCTTAACGCTTCCCCCGAGGAAGTCAAGTCGTGTATTTAAAATGATCAGCTTCTGTTAGCCTGAGGCAAGAAAGTCCCGTTGCTGAGTAATGCATGTTTTGAACCCTTAACTGGAGTAAGAAGTAAGATTCCTGTTGTAAAGGGCAGAGTTGGAGCGAAGACTGTTGACGTTTTAAGAGATACTGGTTGCAGCGGAGTTGTAATCAAGAAGGACCTTGTCGGCAAGGATCAGTTCACCGGAGACTTTAATGTTATGCTGCTATTGACAACGCAGCAAGGAAGGTGCCTATAGCAAGCATTTATGTTGATACACCTTATCTTAAGGGCCATGTAGAAGCGCAGTGCCTTTCAGATCCTATTTACGACCTAATTATTGGCAATGTACGTGATGCCAAGAGGCCTGTTCAGTAAATACAAGACTCAAGCTAAGAAAAAGGATGAAAGCATGGCCTTGAAGGTACCAATTAGCCGTGAGAGCCCTATTGTGGATAGGGAGATGTTCAAGCAGATGCATCGTGGAGATGAGAGTCTGAGCAAGTACTGGGACCGAGACGATGTACTAGTAAAGGATCAGGCAGAGATTTCATTTGAAGAAAAATGTAGAGTACTGCACCGTACAAGCACCCTTATGTGAATGGTGGTAATTAAGAGGCTTAAACAAGTCATGGTTCCTGAAAAGTTGAGGCGCCCCATAATGGAGGTAGCTCACGGATTGATCATTGCCTGGGTGGTCACAAGGGCATAAAGAAAACAACAGACAAGATCCAGAGTGCGTTTTATTGGCCTGGAATTCAAGGTGACGTGACTCGATTTTGCAAGTCCTGTGACGTTTGTCAGAAGACTGTAAGTAAAGGATCAGTGCCCAAGGTACCGTTAGAGAAGATGCCGCTAATTGACAAACCCTTTAAAAGAGTAGCAAAAGATCTTTTTGGCCCTATCAGTCCTCCGAGTGAAGAAGGACACAGGTACATACTGACGCTGGTAGATGTTTCGACTCGCTACCCTGAGGCTGTAGTGAACTGGAGAAAGCCCAGCGGAAAGGACAGCACTATTACGACCGCAAGTCTAAAGTTAAGAGACCATAACAAGTTACTTATGCAATGCAAAGGTCCCTTTGAAGTTAGTTCAGTGGTAGGTCTCAATGACTACAAGGTGAAAGTTAAAGGCAAGGAGAAAGTTTACCACGCTAACCTACTTAAAAAGTGTTTTGAGAGAGAGGAAACTACAGTCGAAGGAGCAGTAGGTGTTGGAGCAGGCGCTACAAGTACGGACGTTGTTGTCGACTGCACAGCTAACGTTGATGAAGCACAGGGCCGGGAGGAGAGGTTTATTTCTTAGAGCTCGGTGGATATGTGGCCAAGGAGTCAATCGAGGATGCTGCAACTGGACCAAATCTTACGGACGAGCAACGGACTGAATTTACCGATGTGGCTAAACAGTTCTTGAATTTGTTTACTGAAGCACCAGGCACCACAGATCTCGTTAGGTATCGTATTAAACTCACCTCAGACGAACCGGTTAGATCAAGACCTTACCCAGTACCTTACAGCATGAGAGGATCACTGAGAAAAGATATTGCTGACATGATCAAAATGGGAGTTATTAGAGAGTCCAGTTCACCTTATGCGTCACCTGTTGTAGTAGTGAAGAAAAAAGATAACACAAACCACGTGTGTGTTGATTATCGGAAATTAAATAAACTAACTGTATTTGATCCTGAGCCTATGCCAACTGCCGAACATCTGTTCCACAAGCTTAGTGGAGACAAGTTTTATTCAAAAATTGGTCTCAGCAAGGGATACTGGCAGATAACTATACCAGAGGAGTACATACCGAAAACTGCGTTTGTAACACCTGAAGAGTAGTACGAGTTCTTGAAGATACCGTTTGGAATGATTAACTCGGCGGCAACACTGAAGCGTGCAATGAAGAAATTGAAAGAAGATTTAGGTGATGTCACCTTCTGCTGGAATGATATATTGGTTCACACCAGTACGTGGGAAGAACATATTAGAGCCCTTAGAGAGCTGTTTTCGCGCCTTGTACAAGCCGGGTTGATTATTAGACCTACGAAGTGCCTATTCGGAGTAAGCAGTGTGGATTTCCTAGGCCATCGACTGGAGCAAGGAATGGTTGGTCTACATGAGGATAGCGTGGAGAAGATTAAAGATGCCCCAAGGCCAAGCACAAAGAAACAGGTGCGGTCATTTATGGGTCTTGCAGGATATTACGATGATTTCATTCCCAACTTTGCAGCGATCGCAGCGCCCTTATCTGATCTTACACCAAAAGGCCAACCTAATAAAGTTGAGTGGGGTGAAGCACAAGAGAAAGCCTATCTCACAATCAAGTCCCACCTAAAAAGTGAGCCTATTCTACACCCCCCCGATCCAGCTAAAACCTATTTCTTACTGATGGACGCTTCCAACAATGGAATTGGTGCAGTATTGATGCAAAGGCACGATGAGAAATTATTCCCGGTTTGTTATGCAAGAAAGAAATTGTCGGAAAGGAACTATTCTACAATTGAGAAAGAGTGCTTATCGGTAGCCTGGGGTATCAAGAGATTTCATCTTTATTTGTTCCCTTTGTTCTGCAGACGGAGCATGAACCCTTAAAGTATATGAACAGTGCCAAGTTTGCGAACGGACGTCTTATGAGTTGAGCTCTGCTTTTGCAAAGTTACACATTCAGAGTTGAAGCCTTTAAAAGCTCAGAGAACGTCGGAGCAGATTACTTGAGTCGAGCTGAGGAATAAGTTTAGTCGCCTTGAACTGACCCTCATTTAGCAATTTTTCTTGTGTAGGAGAAATTTAGGAAATTTCTTCTAAAAGGGGATTATGTTACGAAAAATTGTTTTGCGTGACTTTTTTAAAAGGTGGCTCGATACAGTTTTTCAGGGTCAATACCTCCCAAGTTTGAGCATAAACTACGTCACCATAAACAAAGTCTTGAAAAAATTGCCACTACAGTTGCACTAGATAAAAATGAAAATTTGCTGTGATCAGGGTTGCAATGACATCGGAGTTGTCATAGCAACGAAATGACACTATTACCTATTTTACTTACAGCAGTATATATCGGCACTGGGAACTGTTCTTCCAAAATCATTCACGGAAGCTTTTTCCTCCAATAGCCGCCTCGATGTTCGTGAAGTTTAAGCGAAATCTGTAAGAGCGTTATCGGGATATTTTGGGATAAAGATTTTGTGGTTAGAAATACGGTAAAAAATGGACAATCTCTATGTTCGGCTGTTATCTGTAGAAAACGAAGCGCTTTTGACATGCAATTTCACCTCAAATTAGTTTCAATCTTTTTAAAAACGTGTGTGAAAGATCATGGAGATCGCTCTAGCCGATTGCTAGAAAGAAAGATTTCATTAGTATGTATCCAGGCGCTCTTGTTAGCGGTTTTTGAATATTTTGTCTACTTTAACAAACTAGCAAATGGTTTTTAAACCGCTCAATACATTTTTTTAAAATTTAAGATTCTTAAAATTAACCTTCCTTTTATATGACCTTTTAGTTTCAAGATTATTGATATATTGTAAGGCAGTAAAATAAGGACTACAATTCGCTAATATTTTGGCGGAAATTTGGTGTTTACAAGTGTGAGCCTCTCATTATTCAGGGCATTCTCTCCAAGTTTCATATTTTCGTGCACAACAACAGCTAGCATTTTTGCATATGTCAAATGCATTGTTAGTTACTGCTGTTCACGTGAAAATGAAACTTGGAGACCATGCCTTGAATAATGAGAGGCTTTCTCTTGTAATGAAGAAGCTTCCGATAAAAAAGTAGCGAATTGTAGCCGTTATTTTACTGCACTCCAGATTTAGTGTATTGTTTCTTAGAACTAGTAAGTTACTCTTTTCAAAGAGAAAACTTCAAATATATGAAATCAGGAAGACATAGCGAGCTTTGAATTCTAATACAAACCTTCTTATTTCCCGCCATCTTGCCCTGATTGCCCAAGATGCAATTATCAGCGTGAACTCCTCTATTTCAGTGACGAATTAAACGAGATGGAATAAGCGCGGTAAAATTTGAGGCAGCGCAAATTCACTATCGCCGTCGTCGTTGCTTAAGCTCCCTAATATCTCACTGAGTGGTGCAAATAGGGCTGGTAAATCACAAGCAAATCCTGAACTTGCCCTCACTGTAATTTTCAGGGAGTTATAATAACTCCTCTAGTGGGGCTAATTTAACTCCTGACAGTGGATTTATTTTTCGTGGAGTTATTTTAACTTCAAAAAGGAGTTTAAAGAACTCTTTTTCAGGAGTAAAAGTGACCCCATATATTGAGGAGTTAAAATAACCCCAAAAAAGGAGTTATCCTGTACCTAAAATTTTTACTCCACTTTCAGGGTTAAATTAACTCCAAAAAGAGTAAAAACAACCCATGTAAGGAGTACAAGTAACCCCATTTCGGAGTAGTTTTAACTCCAGACTGGGAGTAAAAAGAACTCTTTTTCAGGAGTAAAAATGACCCCAAATTCGGAGTTAAATTAGGAGTTAAAATAACCCCAAAAATAGGGTTATCCTGTACCTAAAATTTTTACTCCATTTTTGGAGTTATAATAACTCCCTAAAAATTACGGTGCATGCATCGCACTTCTCTAGAAATGTTTGCTTTAAGTCCCTAATGATGATATATGTATACGGACAAGAGAGGGATATTTTTGCTTCACGTACATTTTTTAACCTGCCTTGGAATTTCACGTAACTTAACGAGAATAGATATATATTTATTTATATATTAATATTCAACACAAATGAAGAGTGTGATTTTACAACTCGTTTCCACCTGTATTTCGACCGAATACACCGGCCTTCATCAGGGTGTATACATACATCCATGCGATTTCAAATCACGCGTTCCACTCAGTTCAATTAGCATATTATAAATACCACTCGTGATATTTCAAAATTGTCTCAATTCTTGCCTAACGGCTCGTCAAACTACGTACAACAATTTCGAAATATCACTCGCGGTATTTATGCCAAATATTCCTACAAATCATGCTATTATTTGTTTATACTACTACCCCCAAAAGGTTTGTAATTTTCACATGTAGGTATTAAAATTAAGCTGAAATACCACTGCTCTAAGCCAATCAAATTGCAGAAATTTCTCATGTAGTAGTATAAATATGCTAATTGAACTGAGTGGAGTGCAATTTGGTCTGTTATACTACTACATGAGAAATTTATGCCAACTATCACTACAAATCATGCTATTACCTATACTAAATCTGTTCGAATCTGGAAACGTACCTATACTGAATTGCTTTATCATTAATTTAGCAATTATAATTGTTTTCGAAAATTAAGTATCCCGGTTAAACATCGATACGTGTATTTAGGATTCATGATTAAGTCTAAATACTTACTTGAAAGATTCAAGAAAAGCTCACGACAAGCTTTGTATTCCTCTTCGATAATAGTTGTTGTGAGTTTTACTTCAGCTAGGCCAAATTCTTTGAGAATTTCTTCTGTTACAAGGAATTTTTGTGCCACTTCATTGAGGTGACCTGTGCAATAGTCTTCCCAGAGTTCGTCAAGGATCTGAAGAGAGCTACATTCCAGTATAAGTATTAAACTTCCGGTGTGAACATCCACAACAATAACTTTACGCACCTTTTCCATGTACTGAATAAATTCATTAAACTCCTCAGGTGTCGAATGGTTGACTTGCTGTAAGTACTTTATCGCAATTGAATTTAAAACTTCCTTTGAAGAACGAACAGCTCCCCTTCTGACACTTTCTTGCCCTAAACCTGCAGCTGCTGTCCCTTCGACTACTCCTTGGGGTTCCCATAGTGCTTGTGCCTTTGAAGTCTCCTCTTTTTGCACTGTCTGTCCTTCCTGCTGAGTTACTATTCCCCCTGTAGCTCCCTCCTGAGGACAAGGCCCTTTGATCTCCGCACAATCAACCAGCAGGCGGAGACGAGCTGTTGACAATGATAAACAAGCTAAGTTTACTGATTTAAAACAAAACAATCCAGTGGTTTGGTCTATTCTGTAAAAATGGCTTGACACGTAAAAAGGCAATTCAAAAAGTAAAACCAAGTGCCTCGGCACATCTGGAAAGCCTAACGTGTTACGAATTCCACGATAACTAGCACGACTTTTACTTGTAGTTGCCTGAAAATGCAAAAGTAATTACAGTGAAGCGTAGTAAATTTCACCTTTATGAGATAAAAAAGCTCATGCTATGCCTTTCAAAAATATAGGAGCTAAGTCAACTCTCTCTGACTATCGTCTATAGAAGATCATCCCTATCACCCTGATCAGTTCTGTGCTCAATTGCACACTATTTAAAAATTTCTAACAGGTTGTCAGATTGATTGCTTCTCTCATCACCACTGACCAGGCTTAAACAGGTTCGCAGCATCTTGGTAGGAACATTGTGAAGAAAAAAAAAGAGTCCCTTGAGTGATCATCAGTGAACCAGGTTGTCGTATTAACAGGCTGAGTGCAGGTCACTTACTTGGTAAGGTTCACAATATGTCTTCATTGCATAAATGTATGTAGCGAAAAGTTTAATTAATCGGGGAGGTAAAAATAACACATCATATATGACATCGTGATAGATCACATCCTCGGAGACCCAGGGGCAGTCAGTCGGGCCGGGTTAAAAGGCGCGACGAACGTTTTCAAGAATGGGCGGAAGAGCCCCTGGCAATGCCCTGGGTACCGACTCTCACCGAACCATCTCCAAACGGTCAAGAAAATGCTGGTTCCTGATTGGGCACAAAAATTGCTTTGTATTATTGTGCCCAATCGGCGAACAGCATCTCCTGAGTTCTTTTCGTGAGTTCGTACACGACGGCTATTTTCTCGCCACAGTTGGCCGGTTCGTTAACCAAGCTTTTCTAACCAGAAACGAAGGAACTACCGATGAGTCGAAAAACGTTTCGGATGCTATCAGCAGGAGCAATTTAATTTGTACTGAAAAATTCTGTTTCTGACGGATCACAATGTATCGTAAAAAATAGGAAGTTTAAGATGAAGCGGCGACGAGAAAGTAAAAAAAGCAATAGCTTGACAAGGCAAAACATCAACTTTGCACGTGCATCACGCTTTTTTGTATATTTCTTTGCCGTCACTGCACGATTGCCAAGTGAAAATGCCTAATTTCAAGTTTCGTGAAGGACGTAAACAAGCAATGACAACATTTTCTCTGTCTTTATGAACTTGGATATGGTTGATAGAAATTCAGCTCCAGAAACGTTCGCTTGCATTTAACAAAGTAAGTGAGTTGGAATAATCACAATAGAGACGTTGCGTGGGAAAACCTGAAGTAAAAAAGATAGGTTTTGTGTGAAGCTTTCTTTCACTCGAAATTTTTAAATTTACTTGTCTTGAAATATTTCTTAGCTTATTTAGGCTCTAGTGTAAAGACTACCAGTATTTTGAAATGTAGCGTTTATATCAAACTGAACGATTCCTGACTGCGTGCCAAAACTGTCTTGATTGGGCCTGCTTTAACCATTTGATAGACGCACACCTTGAAATGGAGCTGGAAGATGTGGGAAAAAGCAGACTGCATGTTTCAGACAAGAGACTGGAGAAGGAAACAAGGTCGGCAGCTTATAAAAAGATAAAAAAGATAAAAAGGTCTGAGGGTCCATAGTTAAAGCCCTTTTGTTGCATTCTAACACCGGCTTTCCTTCAAGGGGTCAACCTCGTTCCCAGGTTCTCTCTCCTACTCTCGCTCTGTAGGGACGGGTAGGAGAGAACCCTGGGAACGAAGTTGTCAAGGGTTTAATAGAGAAGCTTCTCGCGCGCGAGCGTAGCCCCATAGCTCAGAAAATTTGGTAAAAAATCCATGCGAGAAAATTTGGTTATGACGTCAGCGTTCGTCCGTACGAACTCCCCGGGTAGTGGAAAGTAATCCGCACGGACCCTTGGGGTAGGGGAAAGCAGAGGCGGGAAATCGCATAGCGCAAAGTCGCTTACGGGCTCTCCGGGTAGCTAGGGGAAAGAAGGGATTTTTTGGCGGGAAATCGCATGGCCAACGTCGCCCAGCGTACGGACTCCTCGGGTAGGGGAAAGTAGAGCTTTTTGGCGGGAAATCGAAAGGCCAACGTTGCGCAATTATATTATCGCGCAACTGTTTTTGAAAAAGAAATTTCAAAGCAACTTAGCAAATAAATTTTTCGACAGTGCCTTTATTACTTAGCAAAACAAGTTACGAAAGGTATTATGTCAACAAACAACAGCAGAGAGACTGTAGCGTGTAGACGACAGGTTTTAGGCGAAGGGCAAGCCTGCCACTCAGGCTAAGAGAAAGAGAAAGGCAGAGAGCAAGAGTCAACAGGTGTAGAGCAATCGAAGAAAATCGACAAAGAGAGCGCGTTAGGGGTAGAAGAATGAGACAAAATTGTAGCGAGCGAAGAAGGTTGGCAAGTGGGAAGACACAGGGCAAGAAGGAACAGAGAAATTGTAGTGAAGAGCGCCGAGAAGCAGAACGAGCCAGGGTTAGAACAAACAGAGAAAGTTTCAGCGAAGAACGCCGGCAAGCAGAACGAGACAGAGCTAGAATGAATAGACAAAGCAACGCGAAAGAGAAATACAAAGACAAAGAGAACGGCAGTAAAAAGTAATGACATGATGACAGAAGGTGAGAATTATTTTTTTGTCACAGGCGGTGTTGTCAAATTCTATCCTAGCAGCAGGCTACTTCTTTGGCTTTCGTTACTTTGAGGGGACCGTCGTCTCGTTTATAGAGGAAAAAAACTTATTGAATGCCAGAACATAATGATGAGTTTTGGACAGTATACGCCAAATGTAAAGAATCGAGAACGAGAAAATACATGAATCTTATTTATTTAAGCTTATTGTATTATTCTCACTTGAATCTACAGTAAAAAAAATTAAGCTTACTAATAAGCTTAATTGTCCCGACTGAGATAAGTTGTGCTTATGAGCCAGCGGCCAGACTTCGGACGCTGTAACCGTGTGAAGCTTGCACTGCGTGCACTTATTTACCACCCAAGGAACTACAGTCTTCGTCTTTTGTAATCGGAGGAGTTTGAGGCGAGTTGGACGATTCAGTTGCCGCCATTGAACTTACGACATAGCTTTAAATGGCTTTCACGTTTTAATAATAGCGATCTAATTCCGATATAGGAAAACATCAGTTATTTAGGAAGGAGTTATAGCTTTGGAATTTAACGCTTATTTATATTATTATTGGAGGTTTAATTTTATGATGTTCACTGTGACTTACCTGACATATATGGAGTAGCACCCTTATCTTGCAGCATGGTCTTCAGTTCATCCATTTTTCGCGACGACATGACGACGTCTTCTTTATTTGCAATATCGCCTTCCATTTTTTTCTTCAAATCTAAAATATCAAAATTCACACTCTCAAGAAACTTTATATACGATTTATTTTCTTCTTTGATAGATTGCTCAAGTCTGAGCCTGGGGCGACTAATTGTTAAATAAAGCGATCTAACTCCGATATCGAAAAACATCAGTGGTCTTTGGAAGGCGCTAGTTTTGAATTTAACGCTGTTATATATTATTATTGAAGGTTTTATTTAATGATGTTCACTTTGACTTACGTGACGTAAATAGAGAAGCAACCTCAGCTTGCACCGAGGCCTTCAGCTCATCCATTTTTCGCGACAACATACCGACGTCTTCTTTGTTTGCAATATCGCTTTCCAGTTTTTCCTTCACACTTTCAAGAAACCTTATATACGATTTATCTTCTTCTTTGATAGCCTGCTCAAGTCTGCGGACTTCATTTATGGGAAAGTCTGACTCTAATAAACTACCAACGGCATCAATTGGAGCCGTAGAGACACCCAGGGCTTGGAACGCGTCTTTGGCGTGTTGCACGTACTGGTCAAAAGTTACTTTCGTCATCTCAGAACTGGTTGAGTGGCAAACAGAATTCCTCAGGAGGCGTAACTGATCAATTGCTAGTGCCCAGGTTTCCGTATTGTTTCCAGTGGTGCTCACTACGGACGGATGAAAATGGCCATGTGATAATCCACGGGGCTTAACATACACGTCATTTAACGTTCCGTGATGTACGGCGAAGACTCGCGAGTAGATAGTGGCCTGGAAAAAAGCAGTGCAATCCCATTCGTGATATGATCGATTAACAGGAACTTTGGTTCTGCCTCCCTCTGTAGTGGAAAACAAATTTCTCACGGCAGTGGAATCATCCCAGGGCTGGAAACCAGGGCGATGTCCATAGGTGTTGTCCCACATGGCTTTAAATGTCTGTCTCAGGGCGTTTGGAAATTCATTCAACACGAGAGACGCGAATTTGAAAAAATTTAAATCCTCGTCCCGGTAAGGCTGCAGAGCCATTCCAGCGTAGAATTAAGTTTGCTGTTAAAATAAAAAACAATCTTAGTAGTGATGGACTCCAGTCTTAGTTAACAAAAGTTTATAGTTGCTAAAATGTCTTTCGTTTTATTCTGGAAACCATTTCCTTGAATCCCGGATCAATTTTAGTAATTGAGATCGAAGTTTAAGAGCCTGATTTGGTGAAGCAGCTGCACCCATTTTCTCTTTTTGCTGAAATGCCAGGCGGGTTTAAGTGTTGTCTATAAAAGCTGATAGCCCCGCCGTTTGACAGTGTTAACTAGTTTAAATGAAGATATGATCGTCGCACTGGTAACTTCAGTTAAGCAATTGCAAACTAACCCGAAAAACGTTTCGGGAATTCAACGGGATCCAAACCCATGGCCTCTGCGTTAGCGCTACAGTACTGCTCTACCGTTTGAGCTGTGAAGACCCATACATTGGGAGCAGGCCTATTTGTCAAGTTAATCTTAACTTGTGAAAGGAATGAAACGTAAAGATGATGTTAACTGCGGAAATACAAATTTAAATGAAGATATGATTGTCGCAGTGGTAATTGCAAATTAACCAGGCCAAAAAAATCGGGACCTCAACGAGATTCGAACCCATGGCCTCTGCGTTAACGCTGCCTTGCAATTACCACTGCAACTCTCATATCTTCATTTAAATCTGTATTTCCGCACTTCACATCATCTTCGATCATGTTTTATTCCTTTCACGGGTTTCGATGAACTCGACAAAATGACTTGCTCCCAAGTGTGTCTTCATAGCTCAATGGTAGAGCACCGCAGCGCTAACGCAGAGGCCATGGGTTCGAATCCCGTTGAAGTCCCGAAATCTTTTTCGTGTTAATTTGTAATTGCTTAAATTGCAATTACCACTGCGACGTTCATATCTTCATTTAAATTTGTCTTTCCACAGTTCACACCATCGTCAGTGTTAACTGGTGTTTACGGACTGACAGGGATCCTTAATGTAAAATCGCTAAGAGCGGGAAAGACCGGGGGTAACCAATACAAGTTACTTAAATATTAAATAATGAATAATAAGTATTAAATAATTTATGATAACTTCACGTCTATATCAGTTTTATAATGTGGCATGGTGTTAATCGAGTATGGTCATTCATGCCTGCACTACATTTTGGATACCATTATACATCCAGTCCCATTTTAATCCTCTGCAAAACCACTTTGCAGAACACTTTGCGTGCCACGTCAAGTACCACGATCTCATGCCATTTTTTGCAGCGGCCCAGGTCGCCAAATGAACCCGCGGGAGACGTCATAACATCAATGAAGATTTTTACATTGTTGTTTTGCGTTTCTTTCTTGTCGAGAGATAAAAAAGACTTGCAGCATAGATTTCTCGAACTTTGCGTCACATACTTATAAGTAATATCAATATTAAATAGACTAATTTCAGGTATTTTTTTCGATACCACCTGAAAACGTTAGCCTAACTTTTTAAAGTAATATAGGAGAGCTTACAAGCAGGAGTCTCCCACGCAACCGTTTTTGCCTCGTCACGACTGACAAAAACGACTGCAAGAAAGGAGAACCACTTTCCTCGTGCCAATCTTCTCGCCGGCTTTGCCGGCTTCCGCTAACAGCTCCGCCGCCAAAAATGTTCCCCGCACTCCCACAAGTTACACTGCTCGTAAGCTCAAGTTAGGGTGATTGAACAGTACACATTCGAACATCACAGATTTTTACACTATTGCACAACATGGAGTTCTTTGATCTTTATTCAACTCCACATTAAGCTGTGTTTGTCAGTGGACCATGAAAAGGAATACTTGGGTTTTTATTATTCCATTATCCTCAAAACTTTGTTATAACAGGATCCAACAGCATGTAAGTTCAATTCAAGTCGAAGATTTTCGTTATTCTTAACCATTATTCCTCGTCAGCCCCCGCTAAGCCTAAATTTTGTAATCCATACGTTTCTTGTCTTCGTTCATGGCGAAATACAATCCTATGCAACTTTTATGAACGCGTTATTTTCACGGTATTTTAGGAATGTTTTCATTGTTATCATTATATCTTTTTGTTTCTGTCTATTTCTCGTACAAAACACTATCCCTTTTGAGAAATTAAAGTTAACCCAAAGGAATCAGTCGAGCGAGATAAAATCACAGTGCCTACATCTCATAAAATAGCATTCGACAAACTGGCGATCACCCAAAAATATATCATAAAATTACCTCGATTCCTCAAACTCCTCTACTTGTGATTAGAACAGGTAATAACAGCACTGGAATTCTCTCAAATTTCTGGGTTATACTTCGGGCAAGACATATGAAAACGAAAGTCGACTACCGTAAACTTCTGCTTATAAGCCCCCCCCCCTTATAAACCCCCTAGGTTTTGCTTTCTTGTGTAAATTAAGGCTTTTGTTATTTAAACCTCAATGGGACTAACAAATTTAAATATGAAAGAAAAACGAAATGAATTCTGGTCTTGGTAGGTAAAAAAAAGTCATAGTACAAATGCCTATTAGCAATTGTCCAATAGACTTCATGAATTTAATCATTTTTAAGGACCTTTGTTCAACAAACTGAACAGTCAAGAGCGGGCTTTGATTTCGACTGCTCTTTAGTACAAATTGCGACACGGCTTATTACAGATTGCAATAGGTATTACAAAGTGCGATGATTATTACAAACTACGACAGTACAGAGCCTGTAAGCAGGCTAACTATTGTATTACACTGATCAATTACAAGTTCAATCTGCTCAATGTAAGCTACTCTGGTTTTTGTAGGAAAAGCCTGCAAAGCTTTTTAGCTATTTGCCGTTTTTGAACCTGAGGTTTACAAGCTGTAGACAGATCCAAGCCAATGCTGAGTTGTAGAGGCAGAAGATGACGAACAACGATGAGCGGAGTTGGTGGTATTTAATCGATATTGTCCAAAATTGTTTTCGTTCCCATTTACACCAGGGGAGACATCGAGGTCGCAGCCGAATTCTGTCTTACTCTTGTAGCTGTTACTGGCCCAAGAGCTTAAGTTTCCCTGTTTTGTTGCTGCTGTGCAGTTCTCACAACTGATGCCCCTCACCTGATGTTTATGTACTCATAATGAAGACACTGATACGAAAATGTACCGAAAAAGGCGTGCTTTTTCAGCTTGGCGCGCGCGTAATCTGTTTTTTAAGCCCGTGGGTGGGAAAGTTGCAGGTTGCTCACAGATGTGTAGAGTGGTCAACCAAAGATTGCATCTGTAACAACGGCATTCTATACATCGTCCAATCCGCTCAACTCGACGTACAGGCAAATTCAAACTCCCACCGTGGTACAAGGGGAAGGGGTGGATGGAGCCCTCGCCCTCTAGACTTTTTGATAGGTTGCAGTACTTCGAAACGATTTTACCTTCAGTAGAAAGCCTTTGATCTTCTCTGCAAGGTGAAGTAGATTTTATGGGTGGTGGCGCTAGCCCTGCTGAGGGGCCTGTGACGTCACCAACAATGGTCACCATCTTGGATTTTACCAAGAATTAGAAATCAGGTTAAAGCCGGGAAAAATGGTGATTATTTGGTGCTTGAGATGCAAAATAACACACAAATAAGCACTTTGCGTGATTTGAGTCACATGATTTACTTTTATTATTGAAAAAAGTTGGAAAAGCGTGTACTTTCACTCAAAAATGGCTTGACCACCTCCTACTTATGATGTCATATCTCGTAACCATAGAAACTGACGTCCATCACTGAACTTGACTCAAAATACGGGCGAGGGATGAACAGACAGTTACTGAAAACATCAGGTGCTGTTGTGTTATCCTCTAGGAGAAAACTCAGAAATTCTTAGGGGGGTGGCATCCACCCCTCCCCTTCCCTTGTACGTCCGAGGGTTAAGTATGAAGTAACCATCTCATCACCGAATAACTTCTCATAATAATAAATAACTTCTCGTAATAATTTACTCCCTGTTTACTTCTCATTGCCGCTGGTTCCATTTCTTTCTTTGTTGGCATTATTCAGCTCGCAGTCATTTACAGTGCCAGTAGGAAAGTGATTCATGGAGACACTGACACCTATAGTCGTCTTTACGTGACGCGTGACATTGAGTCTCTTTGCCAACAGTCAAACGCATGAACACGTGACCTTCTAGCACGTGATCATGGTCTTCATCAATCAAGAACTTGAAGTTTGGCAGTTCACTTTTTCTTCACAATAAAAAGAAAAACCCTTTAATAGATAAAGTCCAGAATCTGGGAAATGAAAGGAAGTAAATATGCAAAGACCCTCGCCAAGATTCAGGTCAGAGGAATATCTCGTATACGAGATATCCGAAGAAAGGTTTTACCCAAATTTATAGAGATTTGTTTGAGACGCCATGTTGGTGCCCACCTGGATGAGCTCCAACATGGCGGACGGAAACCAACAGAAACATCTGTTACCGAGTTTTGCTACAAAAGCGTGAATTCATTCTTCGAGGAACTCATAAACGTTAAAGGGATACGTTGATAATACATGAACTGTTTAGATAGCAAAATTCCTTGAAATAAGTTATTTCTTTAATCTACATGACAACTCTCTTGGCCGTCATGTAAATGCCGCGTCACGCAAAAGCTTAGAAATTCAAGCGTACTCTATCACAAAACCAAGAACCCTTTTGAAGCGAAAATTTGTATGAAAATTAGTTTGCAGCTGCTCTAATACATCGTGAAAGTAAAATCTCGGTAGGATCGATAGTTTTGTGGTTTGAATTTTAGTGACGTCATTTGAAAACCAACAATTGTATACCCTTTCTTGGTAAGTTCTGTTCTGTACCTGTTACTTAAACCTCCTAAGACCACCCAAGAAAGGTTATGAGAAGCAAATCCTTTATCGCTGGTCAGTGGTAATGTAAGTTGTAGGGTGGACTCTGCTCAATGAGGGCTGGATGTCGATGAGAAAGCTGGTTTTTCGGTGAAGATAGTTTTGGGCGCTTAAAAAAGAAATAAATGACAGTGAAAAGGTAACTTTTAATCATGGGTAGCGTAATCTACCATGAAGTACA